GGAGGGGAGCCCCGGGAACCCGCCGCGCCCGCCCACTGCGCCTGCGCAGCGCCCGTCCCCGCCCCGCCCCCGGCGGGATTCGCGGAGGGGAAGGGGGCGCGGCGCGCGGGGAGCCTCGCTATGGGCGGGAAGGAGGGGGGTGTGGCGAGCATGCGCGCGCGACCGCTGAAGGGAGGGGGGGGGTTGTGAGTGAGGCGGCGCGCGCCCCCCGCCCTACGAAGGCGCTGCTGCCCGGCGCTTCCCTTTCCTCTGGCGCGCGGTGACCGTTAACGGCCGCTGGCGGCGGGGCGCGCGGCAGCTCCCGTTCCGCTGCCCTGCGCGGGGGAGGCGCCGGTGAGGAACCTGGGGCGAGCAATTAGCCTTCCCTGAAGCACAAGCGTGAGCCACTAGGCGGCTGCCCCGGCCTGCTCCGTGCCTGGTGCGGTAGGGGGGGGGTTGTGAGTGAGGCGGCGCGCGCCCCCCGCCCTACGAAGGCGCTGCTGCCCGGCGCTTCCCTTTCCTCTGGCGCGCGGTGACCGTTAACGGCCGCTGGCGGCGGGGCGCGCGGCAGCTCCCGTTCTGCTGCCCTGCGCGGGGGAGGCACCGGTGAGGAACCTGGGGCGAGCAATTAGCCTTCCCTGAAGCACAAGCGTGAGCCACTAGGCGGCTGCCCCGGCCTGCTCCGTGCCCGGTGCGGTACGGCACGGCAGGGCTCTGGGCGCGGGGAGGGAGGCCTGGCTGGGCAAAGCATTTCCTACCGTGAATGTGAAGGCAAGTAAGGGCGCTTCCACACAGTGCAGTATGCAAAATTCGTTAGGGAAGTGCATTTTGTATGCAGGCCCTTTTTGAAGGGAGCCTGTTAGGAAAAATTCAGTTAGCCATACGTACTTATTTGGCTGCGCTGTTAGGTTGGGCCAGAGGGTTCACATTTCCACCTGTGTTATCTGTTAATAGGCCCATTAAGTGGAGTTCTTCCTTATTAACTCAGATTTCTGAGTATGTTTCTAAGAATGATCTTTTAACCTCTGTAAGATCTGCTTTTGCGGTATGGGAGGCTGTGTTGCAGCAAACCGGGTTTGTTTCAGAAGGAATAAGTGATTCATTCACTTTCTGTGGGATTGGGCTGCTAATTGGCAAATACAGAGGGTTTTTTCCTGTTCAAGTATGCGGGAGGCCAATACCCTTAGGGCAGGAATAGCCAGGAAGTTACTCTATCTCTGTGGGAATCTCTCTAACCACTAAGAACATACAAGGGCTGTGCTGAAAGGCTTGTGGGAAAGTTATATAACTTATGTGTGTATTTGTCTGCAGGAAATTTAGTCATAGACTGTTTTAATACGCATAAACTTTTCAGGCAACTGATAGTCAAATTTTATCGTGATTTCATGTTTCTCTATCCTAAGATTCCTGAGAAGTTGGCATAAGGACCAGCAATAAGGAGAATGGTTGTCTCTTATCTGTCATAAGGACAGTTTATAACTGTAGTCTTGATAGCATTGGGATATGGATAGTATGTGATATGGGAACAAAAGCAAGGAAGGAGCTTATTCTTAGGCCAGTTTGTTATTTGGGTGTTCCCACAGAGCTTCAAAAACAAACTTACTGATTTATGTTTTCTGTCCATGCTGTAGGTGGTTTTCGTAGGCAACTTCCATTGTGGTCTTCATTTTTAGTTCACAGAATTGTGGTGTTCTCATTGGTTCTAATAGTTTTGAGCTACTATTTGATTTCCATCATCTCCAGGCTCTTGTTAGCAGCTCAACTGGTATACAAGGTCTTAACTTATGTAAATGTGTAGGAAAGAAGGTGGTGAAAGATATTGTCTTTATCAGCTAATTATTTTCACCTGGTTCTGTAGGTTATTTAGAATACTATTTCACAGACACAAAGGTTGAGTAAAAAATATCATTAACCAGTTTGCGCAAGTGTGGAGACTTAGGTCAAAATAAGGTTAGCATGCTTAGCTCCTATCCAGCCTTCAGCTGTGGCGTCTCTAATTTATGAGCTTTGCTCAATTATCAGCTGCTTGCAGTATCAAGCTATGTTTGCAGTGTGTGTTTGTGAATGTTTTTGAGACTGAGTATGGGACATTACTGTGTGAGGAAAAAGTGGATCTCTCTGTGGGTTCGGTCACACAACTCCATTTGGAGTAATGGCAGCACCATAGCTGCCCTCATGTCCAAACAAGACTGGACTTCAGCAATATATTCAACAAGCTGTGTGCTGGATACTAAGAATAACTAAACCAGTATGCTAAATTTCTTAGTCTTTAAGTATTGTAAGTGAAAAAATAGCTAGGGATTTTTGTGTGCACATTGTTATGAATGAAATAATGGGTACAGTTTACAGGCACTTTATCAACTTCAGCAAGTCTCTCCTGTATTTTTGTTTGCTTCAAATCCCCTGTGGAGGCAAGAGTAACCACACTGCCCAAGGGTATTTAAGAAAAATAAGAACAGGAGTTGTATGCCCTTTTCCAATATTCTTATATGGTAAGCAGTGAGCATGTGAAGCCAAATCTGTTTGTCAGAGGAAATTAAAATTCACATTCTTTAGAATTAACTTTAGCAGGTATGAAAGTAGGAATTGCAATCATTAATGGTTAACTGTATCTTCTTTGTTCTTGTGTAGCATATGGGGTGCTGTCAGAAGATTCACATTTGACTAGCATCAACAGAAAAAAAAAAATCCATGGATGGATTAAAAGGTAACTTCTTGTCTTCACAGCCAGAAATTTCACTAACATTCTTAGTTTCATACTGAATGTTGGTCTTGGGCCTGCATCTCAGGAGAGAGATACACCAAGAAAACTCATTACCTGTGTGGTAGGAACTTTCTGTATGATTGATGGACTTTGCAATGAGGTCATATTTAACTGTGTATACGTGATAGAGTGGTATAAATTTTTATTTAAAATTTGTGAAGTATAGGTGAGAGAGACAAATTGATTTAATTTCCTAATTTTATATATAAGTTTAACAGATTATGTTTATTATATATGAAAACAATAATAACTGTCCTGTGCTTTCCTGAAGCAATCCACAGTTTTAAGGTGTAAATTATCAATTTCATAGCAAAAGGAGTTGAATTTATTATGTGTCAAATCATAAATTTTTATTGGGAAAAAGTGGACTCAGACAAGAATCCAGTACTTTCTGCTTTAATACATGATATTGAAGTACTAGCTGGTAACCCTGGGATTGCCTCCAGTTCAGAGGCTCCAGAGTCTGAACATGCAGTAGACAACACGCTCAGATGGAAAGTAGATTCCTACAGTGTGCAGAGAATTAATTCCTTTCTGTGGTCAAGAAACTTTCTTCTGGGAACAGGAATGAATTTTGAAATACTCTACAAATGGAGTTACAGTTGTTTCAGCAAGCTTCATTTTAAGCTGTTAGCTGTATCACATGAAGTATTTGGCAGTTTTTAACCTTTATGTAAAAATTTGATTGAGATCAAATTCCAAATAATGGTAACATATATGAAGACATTTGTTTCTAGTGATTTCAGAAATAACGTGGCAAGTTGTAAAACTGAGGTTCTAGCCTAGTGGTATAATTTAGTATATTGTACAAGTTGAAGCAAGTTCTTGTATCCCTTTGAATTGCCTGCATGAGCAACTCTGTTTCCTTTCCTCATTTCACCAGAAGTTGCAAAAAAATGGACTTGTTTTTCTTGGACTTCAGTGTTATGCTGTGTTTCTTTATGTAGACCTTGGTAGTGTAACTGAACAGCTGAGAGCTGGGGTTATTGCCTTATCTCAAACTGTTGTTGAAAAAAGACTGTGCGGCCTCTGAGTTAACAGGTCTGTGGAAGGTTGAATACTAGTTACTTAGAGAATGGGAGGGTATGAATCTGTTAGGAATACTAACTGTAGTCCTGTTCATATTCCTTTCAGTTGAAATCCTGTGCATGTCTCTGTTAAATAGAGGATACACAGGTAGGCAGCAAGGATGTAGGGCTTCACAGTAAGAATAGAATGGTTTGGGTTGGAAGGGACCTTAAAGATTGAGTTCCAACCCCGCTGCCCTGGGCAGGGACACCTCCCACTAGAGCAGGTTGCTCAAAGCCCCATCCAGCCTGGTCTTGAACAGGGGTCTTCCAGGGATGGGGCAGTCACAACTTCTCTGGGCAGTTCCAATGCCTCACCACCCTCACACTAAAGAATTTCTTCCTGATATCTAGTCTAAATCTTCCCACTTTCAGTTTAAAACTGTTACCCCTGGTCCTATCACTACACTCCCTGATAAAGAGTCCCTCCCTAGTCCTACTGCATTGGAGCTGCCTGCATATTGTGACAAAGTGTGTTAAAATTCTGTTGAATAGGAATCTAATTCTTTTGCAGGTCTTTAGCTTGAAATATTCTCATGTTTTATGGATTATATTTTCTACCTTCACAGCGCTTCAAAGTAAAACTTCATTTATAATTGTTTTTAGCATGGGATGTGAGAGAAGATATGGCTGTTTCTTTATCTGCAGCAAAATGTTGTACCAGCATTCAGTCTTCAGAATAATGGGGGGAAATGTTGATAAAGCATGTGATCTTTTACATATGTATATTTTTATAAATTAAATACATTATGGTTTAAAGAATCTAAGGAATGATTAATATAATCTAAGCCTAATTTTAATTCTAAATTTGTGAATAAGTTGTTATACTCTATTTATCACTTGGCTCTTAATCTAAGTACCACATTTCTTGGTTATATTCTTCCCTTTTAATGCCAAACCAGTACATGGTATAACAGGTATGAAGTGAGAAGTGTGGTGCAGTTGTCTAGCTTTGCAGTGTTGCTAGAGGGCTGGCTCTCTATGATGCTATTACAGGCAACACATGAATTAGGTGAATCCCAGAAGGTGACTTGAATTTGTGAGCTGCCTATATAAGCACTTTAACAAAATGATTACTTGACTAGAAATCTACATTTCAGTCATCTCTTTACAACCAATTAGACACTAAAGCTGATGAAAAGGCATTTCATTGGCAGCATGAGGTATCAATACTTAGATCTATTAGTCAACCAATTAGACACTAAAGCTGATGAAAAGCTTTGGCAGCATAAGGTATCAATACTTAGATCTATTAGCTTGGAGACTAGGGGGAGCCAGCTGAATTTAAAATTCTGGTAAAGACCTATGAATCCCTTGACTGAGGTCTGTGAGATTTATTTTTTTCCCCCCTTTATAAACAGCTTCAGCTGTGTTCAGCCATGCCAAAGCTGGAAAGCAGGCTGGCAGGTTTTATTTATTTGCTCCCTTTGCCTTGATACAAAAGAAGCTCAATTTGGTAGTTTTCCAGGCAGGCTGCGGAAGTTAGATGTGCGCATGCTGCGAATCTGAGATGTGCTTTCTGTAATGCTGCAGAGTTGAAGAAGAGGTATCTGGATTATTTCCTGTTGAGGTAGACTTTAAAGCTTCCAATACTTTGTGTTATTAGTGAGATACTTAGGTATCTGTTGTCTGACTATTTAACATTATGTATTTTGCACTAAATTTAAGTATTTTCATGATTGCTAAATTCAAGTATAAGCTGCTAACATCTTGTTAATGTATAAATAGTAACTTTTGTGCCTGTCTGTAGCACCATAAAAGTAGGGAGTGCGACTCATAAGTGTACAAGTAAAGTAGGAAGTTGATAGACTTGGCCTGGTAGGGACTTTCTTTAGGAAATGCTAGTTCTAAAGTTAGAGTCCTGTTTTCTGTATTTGAGGCACTGCTACAAAAACAATCAGTAACTGAGATAAATAATGATTACGATTGCTTAAACAATAAATTGAAGATTTTTTTTTACTTTTCTGGACTTTCCACAAGAAGATACTGTTCTTATTTTACAGTTTTAACAATAGAATTATTAGGCTGTTTTCCAGAATGTAAATTTGACAGATTCTTAATTTTCTCAGTGAAAGGTCTTTGAAAACCCTCAGTGAGACTAATCTACCAACGTTGCCAAGCAAGTGTTAAAATCTCAGTGAAAGGTCTTTGAAAACCCTCAGTAAGTGAGACTAATCTACCAACATTGCCAAGCAAGTGTCAAAGGGCAGTTTTCTGAGCTTTTAAAATGTTAATAATTCTGCTGCAGGAGTCAGAAAATATTGAATGAATCCTGATAACTACCACATGAGTAAATACAGTTTTGATTGCCATGAAAAGTGGTGGTGCTTATGTTTATCAGCTTTAAAGACTGTCTGTCTCCATCTGTTTATATTGTTGCTGTGCATGATGACTGAGGTTGCCAACTGGTTACTTCATCTGTGTGACACAAGAGATATAAAAAGCTCTCCATGTATACAGGAGATAATGTCCTCATCTCCTGTTTAGACAGTCTATAGATATGCAAAAATTTTCTGTGGCCTGTTGTTGTGCTGTTACTGTCAATACAGTACTAATAGGCATTGCCAGATAAAGCATATTTTATATTTCTAAGTTATATTATGTAACACTTATTTCCTGTAATGCCATGTCTGGTTTTCAAATGGGTAGGACAAAAAGTAACTTTCTGTGGAGCCTGCAGATCTGATCTGAAGCTTACTGAAGTTGGTAACAAATTAATTTGATTTCAGTGACCTTTCAGTTAACGTGTCCCTTCTTGATGTGATAGAGGTTTTTGCAGGTCAATGTGAAGACTTTCCTTTCTCAGTTCCTCTATCAGTGAGAGTCTGTTAAAGCAGCCGTTTTTGCAGAATATTCTTTAGCTTTTGCTTGGGTGTTTTTTTTGTCATTTCTAGTTTAAAAGACAAAAGAGGTGGTGATATGCTTATCAAACCCAATGCATTTGATTTCCACCTACGTTTTAAATGTATTTGAAAATAGCTGATTTAAAAAGATAATTAGGGGAAATCTGACAAGTATATAGGCATTAAAACCTTCACAGATACTCTTCGAGCATTCGAGCTTTGCTCCCTTAAATAGGGCTAGGAAGGAAAGCAAATTCTTTAGTCAGTTTATTTCCTGGAAATTATACTGTTTTGTAGAGAATTGCTCTCTATTATAGTCAACACAGCAAACAACAAAGTATGGTTTGCCAGGAGTGAACTACGAATTGTTTGAAAGTGACGCTCTCTATTATAGTCAACACAGCAAACAACAAAGTATGGTTTGCCAGGAGTGAACTACGAATTGTCTGAAAGTGACATTTAGAATTGAAATTGTTTTGTTTTTTTCAACTCTGTGTCCTTGGCTAGCTGGCTGAAAATCATACCTGAGATCTTAACAGGCTGGGATCACAGCATCAGAGGCTGCAAACCAGTTCCTTCTCGCTTTCATACTCAATGAACAATCAGAAGTTGTTGATGTAAACAAAGTGCATATTGTTTAAATAACAAACATTAGAGTTCTTATGAACTGGAGAATGCTAGTCTCCTGTAGTGCTTTTGTTTGCATTTCTGTTAACAAAATCAATTTCATCCTCTTTCACTTTGGAAGACTGGTTATCAATATCTGTATTGTTAAAATATATTTGAATGCTTAATCCGTTGCGAAAGATGTTGGTGGATGAAGCCCAGATCCAAAGGAATTAAGAATTGCCTCTGAAGTTTGTTGGTATAACTGAGATTGGCATTGCTTATCAGAAAAGTTCAGGAGTATGCTGGCTGGTATTTTTCAACAAATTATGTATTTCATAAAAAATTATAAATCACTGGTTATGCTGAATGCCAAATATGTATGTGATATCTTAGTCGTCTTTCACAGACCTCAAGATTGTTCATG